CATGACGCCTACTGCAAGTGTCGGGGTGCATGACTACAAGGCTGATGTGTGATGGCTCTGATGTACAGCAGCCATTTATTGTGTCTTCGCTCGTCTTGATGTGAGTTGCTGACACCCATACAAAGGGTCGCCAGCCTCAGCCGTTGTCTCAAGTGTTCAAGCGCTCACGCCATAGCCAGGATAACGACCGCCGTTGCTTCGACAGCCGTGACCTTTACATACACGAGACTGGTCTGGTGGATCACGCCTTATGAGCACCGCAACATCTCCAAGCTCTGGCTGCCTCCTCGAGCCACGTCTTTGATCCTCGTTGGGCTCGCAAGCGTCGGTGACATCGTTTCCACTTTGGGCAGTGGCCAGATCATCAAGCCCCCTCCCGCGCACCTTCAGGCCACAGGTTCTGTGCTCAAGATGTTGGTGTGGACGGCCTTTTTCGGACTCGTGGCCCGCTTCACCGTCATGAGTCGTCGTTGGAGCATGGACGAAGCTACCAGAAAGGGGTCTCTGGAGCTCGGCCTCGCGTTGACCGCGTCGTCGTTCTTCCTGGCCGTGAGTTTATTTTTTTGGTCTGCCGTTTTCACTTGTTCCAGATCTGTCTGACCATATCCCGTTCTCAGATCGTTGGTATCATGAATGTCCTCGAAAAAGACGCTCTGGAAACTCTAAAGTCAACTCGCCGGCCAGGCTCCATCGTCACCACGGAGGAGTGGCCCACTTGGGTCTTCAACTTTCTGCCGACTCTCCTCGTCCTCTCCATTATGGCTGTCTACCATCCAGGCTATTACCTGCCAAAGCGGCTGACGGGCGCGCGCCTCAGGGGAAGGGAACTCGAGAGCATGGAGATGATCCGTGATGAGGAGAGTATCGGCGTCGCGACGGTCAAAAACGGTTGGGTGATCAGCAGCCCGAAGGTCATGACGGAGAAGGAAATCGAAATTGGCGTGAGCATGCAGACGTACGAGAGAGCGGGAGGCGTGCCCGTGGCTTATGCCAGATGACCCAGGCATGATGTACAAGTTTAAAGTTTCTACTCGTTCGGTCAGTTGTGAAGACATCGCGAAGCTTTCGGACGCTTGTATCATGGGCTTCAACTGGTGTTTCGTCTCGCACAGATGTATGGGACTGACTCGACTTCGTTTATGCACCCGTCTCCGATCCGCACATGGGGGGTCCCTCCCCCACAAGAGATGCCTAGGCGTCGCCTTTATTCTGTCAGTATATTTTAAACCACGTGAGGCTTTGCTTGTTAAGCTGCAGTCATAGCCATCGCTGTTTCGAGGGCAGCGCCAGGCGCAGCTCAAGTTGAGCATGTCTCTTTTGAGGCTCACCAAAACACGGCTTGCGGCGAATGTTACAGTGATCTCATGAAACACAATAGGAGTGGGCTGCTTGCTTACTCGTGGATTTCGCCAGGTTCGGCTAATTCGCTTCCCTTGTTTCTAGGGATACTATGTCGCTTTACCCTCAAAAGGCCTACCGAATACCACCTAAGAAACAGAGGATGATCGTTCACCCGACGGTTCTCTTGAATCAAATTACAGTCTCCGATTCGCAGTGGGCTTGAATCGCTGTATTCGCTTCCATCTCACATGGTTGCAATGACGACAATAGCTGACGGATGATATAGGATTGCTGTCAGGGCCCCTCGCGCACTCGCATCAAACTCTCACGACCCGCGCTCGCGGGCGGGGCCGAAACTATGGCAGACATCGGCGACCAAGTCAGAAAAGCCTGAGCCAAAAAAATCAGAGCGGGGTGCCCCAGATATCAAGCTTTGATAAATGGCTTTGGCGTTAAGCTCAAATCTCGGATGCGCCAGGCTTTAAGAGGGGCCCCTCCAGTTGCTTCTTTGTCCGAGGATGGCGGCTGTCTGCTTCGGTTGTTGCAACACGGGATCTTGTCACGGAAAAGGATTCTGGTCTCTGCACCATGCTTACAACTTATTTCCCAGAATGACTAATATCGTCAAATTCTATGTTCACCTTCCCTTCCCTTTTGGCATGTCTTAGCACGCTACAGATTGCCCAGGGCCAGTCTCACTGAAGGCTTGGAGGCGCAAGGATGTGATTTGTGATCGGAATCCGGCACGCAGCCACACAACATTGAGACTCTAACGCCCCCGTGCTTCGGAGTTGAGGCAACCAGAAAGAAGGGAATCTAGAAACTCGCCGGAGCAATGTGGCCTCCGAGATGGCCGTGGCTGCTGCCGGCGGAGTGTACATCGCAATCAATCTGACTTTGATTCGTCGTCAGGATTCAGTCGACGAACGCCTTGGGCGACGGAGGAGGCCAGTCTTTGGTAGATCTCATGAACTCTCAGGCACTGATCTCGTACCTGCGTCAGGCTCGGAAGTCACGGGCCAAACTATTTGAGTGGCGGTGTTGCATTCGCAATTGAGGAGTCAGGTCCGTCATTGTGCGGGAGCTTCCCCCCGCACCTCTACCTAGTCACGATAAAGCCCTTGGCGAACCATCGCCGACTCGGCCGGTTGACTTGACGAACTCGACATCTTCGGAGGGTCGTATGCGGTGAAACCATCACAAACATGGATACAGCGGCAACCGAGAAACCTACGCTTTGTGTTTTTAGCGTTCATGTACGCACCACATGCACCCTTCAGAGCAACACCATGATCGCCCTTCAGAGTCGACGATGTCGCTCTGGAGTGGTGTCGGATTGACTTAGCGCCATGCACGAGGGTCCAGGCACATCGTCTACGGGGTTTCTCCCCAGCGCCATCGTGTCATCCACGTACAGGTATGTGCGGGAGAGAGAGAGAAGGGGGCGGACTACCGGCATGGAAGGCAGCTTGAGAGCTTGACAGGCCTTCGATTGGAAAAGCTCGTGGCAGTGCGGCCCGCCATGGCAGGTCTGGCGCCAGCCGAATTGTCTGATTGTCATCGCCGTGGGGGCTGGCAGTGCTGAACCCCTGGCAGAGGGCGCGGTTTTTTTTTCCATTCTGCCCAGCATCATTTTAGTCGACCTCGCCTCATTTCGTTTCGAGGCCGCCACGAAGCTTAACGCGCGTTCCTAATGTCTTGTACAGAACAACGAGCTGCGTTTTGTTGTATAGCATACGCCTGGCTATGTGTGTAATTCCTTTGAGCGCCATCACCGAGGAATTCCAAGTAACTGGTCGCCTGATCTCCCGGCACACGCCGGGGATGTGACAACTACGTAGTAATTGTTGTGATCGATATCAATGATCATAGTTTCAGGGACGGTGAATCTGGCGAACGCTGCCCGGTTCCAAAGAGGAAACATTCTCCGGAGGG